AGACGGCCGTTATCCTTTGAGGTGGGAAACCACGTTTTTCTTCGGGTTTCTCCAAGAAAGGGGTTGTTGAGGTTCGGGAAGAGTGGCAAGTTATCGCCACGATTCATTGGACCTTTTGAGATCTTGGACCGGGTAGAAGAGGTTGCCTACAGACTTGCTTTGCCACCACAGATGGACAGAGTCCACAATGTCTTTCATGTGTCGATGCTACGGAAGTACGAGCCGAATCCATCTCACATTTTGAGTTGGGTTGATGTGGACATTAATGATGATGTTTCCTACGAAGAGGGACCAGTTCAGAGCCTTGACACACAGTAGAAGGTGTTGAGGAAGAAGACGATATCATTGGTGAAAGTTCTTTGGAGACACCACGGAGTCGAGAAGGCTACTTAGGAGCTTCAACAGGAGGTTCGCTCCACGTAGCCAAAGTTATTTTCTCCCTCAGGTATGGCTTGATTTCGGGGACGAAATCTTTTAAAGTTGAAGAGAATGTAAGGTTTCAATTAGATATATATATATATATATATATATATATATATATACATATTGTTAATTAAAGAAAAAGATTTTTTTTTTTAATGGTGGGACCCACATATTATTACAAAACTTATAATTGCATAAAGCCATTATCTCTCACGATCTGCTCTCTCTCACAATTTTTTTTCTCTCCCTCATTGACATTTCTTTTTTCTTTTTCTTTTGCAACTTCAACTTTTGATTCCTCTCTCATTTCTTAGTGTTTTTAAGTGTCATTTGCGGCAAATTGAAGCCCACGACGAGATCTTCAAATCCATACTAGCAATTTCATCTTTTGGCCACTCTAGAAAGTCCGAAAATTGAGATCCATTTTGAGGGTTTGAGGTAAAAATTAGGGCTTTTGGCTTAGATTGAGGTAGAGGTCTCTAACCCACATTTTCTTGTTCCTTTGTGAGTTAATTTCGTGTAATTGTTGTTAATTTGTCTAATTGATGATAATTATCCTAGAATGATTGTGTTGTAATATATAAAGTTCATGAATTTTATATATATACATGCTGATTTGTGCTGAAAGCATACTTAAATGTTGATTTTCTATGTTTATCGTGTTGTGAATTGTGCAAGAAATGATGTATGTAACTATATATGTTTTCTTTGAAAATTTTGGCAAAGAATGATTAATTATTTTACTTGAAATTATCATGTTTCCATACTAATGAAGGCATGAGACATACATGCATGTCATTGGGCATGAAGGACGGGAAATGTTTCGAAAATGAATAAAAAGGGGATTTGGGAAACCTTTTTGAGAAAAGGATTTTTGTAAAAACCTGGACGCCAAGGGGGTACCGAGGGTCTGTGGCGTTAATGTAGCCTAGAGGGAACTAGGAAGATCGCCCTAGCGTGGTTGACCCAATGACGCCGCGGGGTTACCAAGGGTCAGGGACAGTGGTCAATCCTTCTCTCATGTCGCCAAGGGGGTACCGAGGGACGGGTTACGTTAACGGTTTGAAAAGTGAAGTTTTTGAAGTGAATTTGAAAATGGGGAGTGACATGCATAGCATTGCATTCATGGCATGAAAATTTGTTAGTCTTAAACTTGAGAAATTTATGACGTGTTTTCCCGGGTTTAGAATGATCCCTATTCTCTATTCCTATTCATTATTTGGATTCACGGGGTCACAAGAGGTGTGTCTTAGGCACTACCTACTGAACAATTTTGCTCACCCCTTATATGTAACATTTTTTTCTAAAAACGGGAAAGAAGTGGCGGATGATGTTCCACCACCGGCCTAATTTGGATTAAAAGACCTTTTTGCTATTTTTGTATAAAGTCCCATATTTTTTGTAAAACCTTAGTTTATTATTATTAGGCAAGAATCCCAAATCACTACTGATTAGGGATCCTTTCTTTATCACCAGATATTTAGATTCCTTTAAAGTCTAATTTACTTCCTTATTTGTATTAATCCCTTATTCAGTGGGATTATATCTTTTCTAGCCTTACTGGTAAATCAACTACTGATGTATATAAATACATGTGTAAAGAGATGTAAACCATTATTGAATACAATTAAGAAATTGTTCATGGTATCAGAGCGTTGAAATACTCCAACGAGTTTTCTGATCCTTATCACATTTTTCGCTGTCTTTTTTTTTTTTTTTTTTTCTTCGTCTAACACTTCTACATGCATCTCTGCTTCACTATGTCTACAGAACTAGTCTCCTCCACATCTGCAATTCCTTTAAAGTCTAATTTACTTCCTTATTTGTATCAATCCCTTATTCAATGGGATTATATCTTTTCTAACCTTACTGGTAAATCAACTACTGATGTATATAAATACATGTGTAAAGAGATGTAAACTATTATTGAATACAATTAAGAAATTGTTCAGTTATATTCGGTATAGAGGTTTGTGGACTCTTGTTATTGTAATTATAATTTTGGGCTGTAACTTTAGTATAAGTTGTCTAAATGTTGTAAAGTATGGACATTTGATCTTAACCTTTTATTTTGGGACTATAATTATGATATTTAGATGTAATGGTACGTGGTTGTTCCACCATGGGATGAACTAAGTTAAGGCATAATGAACGGAGGAAATGGATGCTGGAATATAATATTTGCATTGTGTATTGGGACAGGTTGTTGTAGGACCCTTTTTAGCGGAGGTCATGCCGAACTTTTTTTTTATTAATGGTGTCAGTTTAGGGTCGTTACACTTCTCTCATACGAGATTTTGAAAACTAGAATGTTCCAGATGCTTGCGGAAGAAATTTATAACCATAGTAATTGATTTTGAAGAAGGTGTGGGGGTGATGCTGAAGTGTTGAATCAGTTGGTGTTCTGAAAATCTACTTTGATTATCCATGGAGCCTATGGCGTGACGGTTGCATCAGTTGTGGTGTGTGGTTTAGCCGACGGATTGATTGGAGGAAGCTTGATAGGATCTGCAGGCAAGCTGCCAAAACAGTATATGCAGGCTGTTTTTGCTGGAACTGCTTCTTCAGGTACCATTTAATTGTGAAAAACTCTGAAACTTTCTTGCTCTTCTCTAGTTCTCTGAGTCAACAAAGAGAAATTTTGATTAATTTGATGGCCAATGTAGTTTATATGTAATTTGCATTTAACTTACTGTCTCAATGATTCGTAAAAAAGACAGGCTAAACTGTTTCTATATGAGGAAAGCTACAAAGGTCCTCCATAGGGGTTGACAAAAAAAAGTAATCCTATAAAATAATTTTTCAAGCACCAAATTATGATTATTATCACCTCCACTATTTTAAGGAAGATTGTTGAAACTATAGCATTCCTCTTCTGAAAATCCCTTTTTCCCAGATTTTTATGTTGCCATGACAAATATGTTCATGAAAGCAACTAAACTATCCCCAAGTGGCCGGCATGGCATAATGTGACTGGTAGCATGGTTATACCTTAAGCCAGGTCATTTTAAAATCATTTTTAGAGATCAAGTAATCTCGTTCAAATGATTTTGTTCACCTGTAAAACTCAAAAAATTTCTACAACTAAAGATCTTATAAGCATAGCAAAATAAAGATCAGCAGATACAGATAGAACAACACATCCACACGATTCTCCAACAATGGGCTACATTAAAAGTGACCCTGAATTGATGAAATCTACTCTCAACTTAATAGTTATAAAGTAGCTGTGAAAGAAAAGAATTTTGAGTACCTTCGCCAAAATCATCTTCAAGTGATCATTATAAGTGGTATTCTTCCTTTACCAGCAGGGGCCCTTAACTAGTAAGAGAGTAGTAATTCAAGTGAAAAGAAGAAGGAATATATTTTCAAGCAAATTATCAGCTCACTCACTTCTCCTGATTGAATCCATTGCTTGCTAACAGGTGTTCTGGTTTCAATCTTAAGGATAACAACAAAGGCATTGCTTCCACAAACGCCACAGGGCCTTAGAACAAGTGCTCACTTCTACTTTATAGTCAGCATAGTCATATTGCTGGGGTGTATCATTTGTTGCAATCTTTTGTACAAGTTGCCTGCCATGAAACAGCACTACAAACTTCTTCAAGATGACTCGCTAATTTCAAGGCCAAATTTATGGAATGTGACAAGAAAAATAGGGTGGCCGGCTTTTGGAATATTCATAATTTACGCCATGACTCTGTCCATCTTTCCAGGATTTTTAGCAAAAAACCTTAAATCCAATATTCTCAGAGATTGGTATCCTATTATGCTTATCACAATGTACAATGTCTCAGATTTTGTAGGTAAGTCTCTAACTGCAAGACATGTCCTGAAGAGTGTTGAAAATGCTGCATGGGCTTCCATTGCCAGGCTTTTGTTCTATCTCTTCTTTGCAGCCTGCCTTCATGGCCCCAGTTGACTGAAAACTGAGGTACCAATGGCATTTCTGACAATTTTGCTTGGACTAACCAATGGATATCTAACAAATGTCATCATGATCCTGATCCTCACTCCTAAATTAGTGCCATCTTCAGAAGCCGAAATGTCAGCCGTTGTGATGGCCTTGTTCTCGGGAATGGGGTTGGTTGCTGGCTCAGTTCTTGGCTGTTTCTGGATCATTTGAAGCGTATATGAGCTCTTTTTATAGGCTAGTTGATCAGAGAGTAGGCTAGTATTCTACAGATAGAAATCAAAGAGCCAATCAAGGTAATGCCTACAAACAAATTAAGGATATCCTATTCAGTCAGAGAGGCCTTATTTGTAATAGTTCTTTAAAATTTTAGAAAACTGAAGTTTGTTTCTCTGTTATATTCCTAAATCTGTTACCTTCTTCAATGTGAAATTTTATCAATTTGGTGCTATAGAGAGAGATGAATTTCCGTAAAACTGTTTAAAAACTAAAATCTGACAAAAGATACCAAATGTTCTGTTTGGTTGCAGTCCATGGAAGGATGGAAGTAAGCATAAGAAGATTAGGAATATTAATTTTATCTCCTACACGTTGATGGAAAATAAACCAAGAATAATAGATAATTTATGTCATACATCAACCTAGAAAGTATCTATCAGGTTAAGCATTTGTTAAGTATGTTGTTATAATGCCCAGAACTTGATCAAATGTTTGGGACACTTAATAAATAGAAACTACAAACAAAATGATAATATAGGTATCTTAACAACATAATAAATTTACCCTTTACCATGAAAAAAAATAAAATAAAATAAGAAGAAGAAGAAGAAGAAGAAGAAACAACAACATAATAGGTTGTTAGTTTTATCAGGTGTTTCTCAAAAGCATACATCTCTTATCATCTTGGACCTGATAACTGCACACCGGAAAGGTCTGAATCAATGTGGCAGCATGGCTCCTCTCTGATAGGTTTAACAAAGTTTGCAAAGAACTGGGAAACCGCCTGGGAAGAGCTTGGGGGCTGAGCTACGGCACGGGATCCTTCAAGCATTTGAACTACTTTAGCCATGGATGGTCTTAGAGACATGTCCCGCTGTATGCACCAGAAAGCAACTTTAGTTGCAGTGATTACCGTCCCGTCTCTTTCTTGAGTATTAAGCTTTGAATCAAGTATCTCTTTCAGCCTCCCTTCTTCTAGCATCCTGAGGGCGTAAGTGGGGAAGTGGGCTTTCTCTGAACTCACCTCTGGCTTGAAGTTCCTCCTTCCCCCAATGATTTCAAGCAAAACCATGCCAAAGCTATATACATCACTCTTCTCTGATATGGGAATGTCTGTTACCCACTCTGGTGCCAAGTAACCCCTTGTACCTCTTGCCATTGTGACCACACAACTTTGTTCCCTTGTCATCAGCTTTACCAAACCAAAATCAGAAATTTTGGCTTGGTAGTTGTCATCAAGAAGCACATTTTCCGGTTTTATGTCACAGTGAACAATCTTTACACTGCAGCCCTCATGGAGATACGCCAATCCTTTTGCCATTCCCATAGCTATTTTGAATCTTGTTTCCCAGTCCAATGTTAAACCTTCACGGCCGTCATTGAAGATCCATCTATCCAAAGACCCATTTGTCATGTACTCATAAGCAAGAAGGCAGTGAGTCCCCTCTTTACAGAAGCCTCTGAGCTTCACCAAGTGGACATGGTGAATGCTGCCTATGGTGGTGATTTCGGCTTGAAATTCTTTCTTACCCTGACCAACACCCTCCAGCCTCTTCACAGCAATTTGAGTCCCATCTTTAAGCATCCCTTTATAAACGGAGCCAAACCCACCATGCCCTAGTATCACAGAGAAGTTGTTAGTGGCGGCTTGAAGATCTTTGTATTCAAATCGGATGGGCATATGAGATAAACTATCCATTTCTCCTAAAGCAATGTGGGAAGAGAAATCCTCCTCTCCCATGACATCTTTAAAAGATCCAAATATGCTTTTCCTTTTCTGATGGTACCAGACTCCCAAAAATAATAAACCAACAATAGGTAACAAAACTGCAGATGCAATAATTAAATTGAGCAGCATGTGTTTCTTATTGCTGCTCTCTTGTGCTCTTGGGTTTAGCCTGTGTTCTTTGTTACTAGGGATTTTAATATAGGAAAGAAACCTGGAGGAGCCTCGTTGAGCCTGCCATCTAAAGCTTCCTACATCATCAAACAGAAAGCAATTCCCGGACTTGTTTTCGAAGAACAACATCAGGCATGAACAGTTACCAAGGCAGGCATCCTTACAAGCAGAAAGACTGACGTTGGGAAATGGTGTGGTAAACTCAAGAGCAAAATAGTCAACTTCATCCCCCATTTCTAATAACATTTCCGAACTTTTTGAGCCATTACAAGGAAAGGAGATCCAAGGGTTGCAACTTGGAAAGGTTCCCCTTCCAAGCCCTGGAAAGCATCGACAAAAATTGCTATTTTCACAAATAGTATAAGGACCACAAGGTTCAGGCATGCTGCACTGATCACCGTTTGGTATCTTTATTGGTTCTGCACCAATGAAGCCCCCATTTTGTAGATTGTAGAATGAGATAAAACCATCAGATCCTAAAACTGCAGCCCAGGTAAGATTAGGACTATTAATGTTTGAGAACACAAATTGTTGGACTAGAGTCTGGTTGCGATCAAAGAATTTCCAAGAATTGGAAATCGAAGCTGAGGTGATTACCCCATATTCGTTAATGATTTTCCGCATCTCCTTTGCCAGAGACCAATAAGGCTGAGGAGTTCTGAATCCTCCATAGAGAATCACTTCCCCCAACTTCATTTCCAGGTAAAAGCTCAGATTGTTGGAATTGGGCTCACTTACAAGTCTCATTCCATCAAAGAAAATTTGATTCGATAAAAGGGTGTCAGTGGGATAACTAAAGCTCTGCCAAAGAGGTTTAGAATCGTTACCAATCAAAACCAAATTACCCGAGTCCTGCAACTCCAAAGCAGTAACTCCTTTACCTGCAGTATTTGTGGTCCACACTATATTTCCTTGTTTCTCCAAGTAGACATTCCCAGTTTTGTCAAACACAAAATTATCAAAACCTGTAATGCTGGAGCCTCTGTTGGCAGTCCAGACAATTCTTGAACTAGGTTCGTGAATTATAACAAGTGAAAACAAAGTGGTATCTTTCTCCAAAACAGTGAATCCAAAAGAGAAATTTGCGTTGTTGGACACCAAAAACTTACCATCATCATCAATCCAATTATTCTGAGACCCTGCAAACTCTGGATAAATTTGGCCAATATTTTGAACGCGAGCTGTAGAAGCACAGGACAAGAGGACAAGTGACAAACATATGGATACTGAATAACAGCAGACACTCAGCAATACCTGGAAAGAGTTACTTGAATCAAATACAACTGCTTATTTATAAACAAAATTAAACAAGAACTGCACAATTCTTATCAGTATCTTTGCCCCCATGAATATGCATAGAAATCAAGCAAAAAGCCTATGAGAAAGATCAAGGGAAAGCCATTCATATCAAGATTGAATCAAGAAGATTGCATGTATACATATTAGATGTGTGTGTGTTTACTTGGAAATCTTCAAACAAATTGTATCTTCTTGCTAGCTACAAATTGTGGTGGTGATTGATGGATTCATAGATATATAACACAGAATTGAAAGCACACTCACCTCATTTCTTGATTGAATTTTCATGGAATCAGATGGGAGTATGCAAAACATCATGATGGATTCTTCAGTCCTGCATTGCAATTTCTATAGCATGGACATCACTTTTAGTTCAAGGGTGGGTAATGTTATGCTGATATATATGAAGTGAATAGTCAAAATGTGTATACTGCAACACATAAACTCCTTTTGCATCAAAAACTTCAAACTATTAATAAATGAAAGCAAGTTCCAGTCTGTCTCAGTTTTCTCTCTCCACTTGACTTGGGTTTTCTGCCTCTAATTCAAAGTCAATTCTTTTACTGGATTTTTGACAATAGGGAATGAATTCATTTTCAACAGACTGCTCAATCATTATTTTCCAGCCGACCACTAATTCAAGAATTTTACGGAAAAAAAGGTTCGGGGTCTGTATGCAGTTAACGCTGTTCGTTATCATCTTGCCATGGTCACTCTTATTCAGAGTTAAAATATTTATCTATATATATATGTATGTGTGTGTGTGTGGTTTTTTTTATTTTATTTTATTTTAATTGACTTCATTCTAAATAAAAGACATAAATGTTAAATCGTAAATTCGAATAATTGAAAACATATTATCGTCAATTACTCTTCCAAAAACTAGGGCTTTTGTTCTTTTTGTTCTCTCACATTTTCTACCGTTGATGAAGCACAATCTCCGCCGTGTAATGTGTTTTAATTCATAAATTTCAAGAGTTACAACTGAATTTTATTATAATAAAACAAATAACTCTACCTGTAAGAAAGAGTAATACGATCCGCATTAAATGTGATCCTACTACATCAAATAATGAAATATGACTTATTTTTTTACGTTTTTATTGAGTTGAATCGTCGTGTTTATGGACTATATTTCATAAAAATAAACAAATTAACTACAGATTAAATTTTTTGTCTGATAATTATTTTCAGGCCCACCAAGAATTGATATAATTTTCATGTCCAAGTCTTGGGCCAAATCACACGCACCTGAATAGTAATGTTTCCAAGATTTTGCCACCCGTGACGTGAATGGCTCACATCCTGATGGCCCACGACCCAGGTCACTCATATATATATATATATATATATATATATATATATATATATATATATTTTTGGGTAAAGTGGAAGAAACCCCATTTTAACTTATGGACAAGTGCAACCCTCTGAAACTACAAATAACCCCCTTCATATATGAATTTTGTGCAGTCAAATGACAGATAAGGTTTTCCAGCCCAGTTCTATCGCCGGAAGTAGAAAAAGACCTTTTTACCCTTTAAATAAATCATTGTCTTGTAGCCTTAAGTTATTATTATAAAATTGACTAAATACATGGGACCAGTGTAATCACAAACACCAATTAAAATTGGACACCTCAGAAACTTCACAATTATTATCAAAGCTCATCAACTTATTTATTTATTTATTTATTTATTTTTGTCCTTTCAAAACCAACATTACACACAGATGCATACGTAAATATATTCTTCCTTCTTCTTTCCCCAATCTCCACAATGGACGGCCAACACCACAATCTCTATCTCTCCACAGACTCCACCACAATCTCCTCCACCGTCTAAGCCTTTATTTCAATCTGGTGGTGACAACGGCTAAAGGCTCAACTAACAACGATAAATGGCCTGATAATCGGGATGCCGTAATTGGGATGGATATCCGAATATGTGATGGTGTTTAGATGACGAGACTCACGACAACGGAAAATTCTTGGACACTTTCTTTCATCTTTTCAATCTTGGTTTTGCTAGAGAACTCAGCTAAATCCCTGGTTCTTTCAAAATAATTTGATCTTGAACCATGGTGTTTTTGAACTAAAAAGTTATTTAGCAATTACTGGGGTTTCGCGATTTGGTTTGTTTGCGAAGATTTTGTGAATCAAATCTTGTGATTGGGTTTGGCGAGAGGTTGAGAATTTTGCAATTGGGTTTGCTTGTGATTGGATTTTGTCAATCAGTTCTAGTGATTCAAGGGGTTTATATGGAAGATGTGAAGTTGCCATGAATATAGATAATGTGTACAGAGCTATATATATATATATATATATATATATATATATAGGGAGGGATAGGAGTTCACTGTTCAATTAACATAATTTTTATTGACAGTTTTTATCTGCATAATGAAAAAGATGAACATACATATTAACTATATGTATCTAACTATCTATATAGATAGATATAGAAGGGTAATTGTCATTTACGCTTCGTTTCAATACGTAGGAAAGAAAAAAAAGGAAATTATTATAAGAGAGAGAGAAAAAAAAAAAAAAAGAAGGAAATGATTACTTTAAATTATATTCATGTTTGGATAAATAGGAAAGAAAAGAAAGAAATTGACAATATTGTTGTTTGAGAAAAGAAATGAATTGGCAATAATGAAATTACCATTTTACCCTTTTTGATGATGGGGTGGAACAGTTTCCATTTTCTCTCTCTTGTTTTACTTGGGTTCAGTTCTTCATGTTCTAGGGTTGATATTCTTCTCTATCTTTTGCTCCACCTGTCTGTGGCTCATCGTAGAGGACTATAATTGTCTATATTATTGCCTTTGCTTTCTCGATTTTATTTTAATTTGTCAAACACTTTTTGTTCTCCTGTGTGTTATTTCGACTTCCGTCAATTGATCTTTTGCAAGAAATAAATAAATAAATAAAAATTGATCTTTTGCACTTCAACTTTATGCAACCCACATTTGATAAATTCATAATTTCTTTAGGTGCAACTTACCTTGATTATTTATTTCTTTTATTTAATTATTTCTGAGTATTTTCCTATTTATCTGATAAACAGGTATTGGAACAATATTTTTCAATACAATTTGGTATATAGTAAATTGGGTGCGTCAATCTGTTGACAGTAATCACCTCCTTCCAAATCACAGATCCTCTCTCTCATCCCCTCTTTACCCGAAGCCCCCTCAGAAACCCTAACCCCTATCTCATCTCTCCCCTATGTTCAACCCCAACACCATTGTGAGCCACACCCTCTCTGTTTCTCTGTATTTTCTGGCACCATCTCAGGCCGCCTTGCTTTCAACAACTCCAGCGAGCTCTTAGCCTCATCGACCGAGCCTCCTTCCCCATCGCGGGTCTCCTTCTCCATCTTGGTCTCTATAATGACCCAAATTTTCACGGATTTTTTTTTTTTTTTTTTTTTTCCTGTTGTCTTTCCTTTCTGAGTTCAGTTCCTCTTCGCTTAGTGTCGTCTCGAGTGCTCTGGAGTGATTTCTGATAATCTTTTATGTGGATTGACAACTTCCTTTAAGGACCGAGTCGTTTTCACATTTTTCATTTTTTCAACACTATTCACTTTTCGTCTTTTTCCATATTTCGTCTTTTTCCCTATTTTGTCTTTTCCCCGTTTGACACTTTGTTGGCATAACCATACTTCTTGTGTATGAAGTTAGTCTTTGACTTCATGTATCTCCATCTTTAGTGGTTTCCACGAAATACGTATCTTTACTTTTGCAAGAAAGTACTCTGATTGCTCCCGGTGTCCATAGGGGCATAGATGCAAAGTTCTTTGAAATTATTTTCTTTTCTTGGGGTGTTTTTCGTAAATATCTTTTGAAGATATTTTATTTCAGGGGTTTTTAAGAAAATATTTTTGAAAAATATTTTCATTCTGGGCCATTAGTGCAGTTTTCACGTTTTGGAGGGGCCATTTGTGCAATTAATGAAAGTTATTACTAAATACCTTGTTTTGAGCCTGAATCCTCGTACGGGATTCATTTTCACTTTTCGTCGAGTCGTGTACTCTTAGAAATTCCTTCTGGTCATTGTTTTCTAGTTTCAGGGTTTCTGGCCCGGGTTAGCGCCAAACTTGTTTGGAGCATAACTTTCTGTTCGGGACTCGGTTTTTGATACTGTTTCTTCTGTTGCTCATATTTTCTCATTTTGAATCTTTTTTGTTCACAGAATTTTGTCATTTGAGCGCATCTGCTCAAATTTTACTTTTTCGGACCTGGTGGGGCCCGTTCGGGGCACTTTTTGAGATTTCTATAAAAAGGGGGTGAGATATTTTATTTTTTCATCTTCCCCACTCTCTTGCAAGACCTGAAGCTTCAATGGCAGCCCAAGGGAGGCTGCCATCTTCTCTCTCCTCTTTTGAGCTTCATTCCTTCGTCAGAACATAGAAGGGCCTTTGCGTTTAGTGTTCGTGTTGACTACGCGCTTCTTTCACCCTTATTAGAACCCATTTTCTGACCATTCTTTGAGTTTGGATTTGAAGTCAAGTTATGATTTTGATGGGGCTTTCATGGGGGTTATGTTCACTGCGTTGTCCCCGACAAAACCTAGTAGTTTCGTCGGATTCGGAGCCGTTCCATTTTGATGGCTTTTGAGATTTTCATCTTAAATTGAGGTAGGAAATGTTTTAGGATTTTATATGTGTTGTATTGAGTGTTTCTAAAGATTATATAACTTATATGTATGCCTTGTATCAAATTTAGAAAATTAGTAATTTTTATTTTTTTGTATAAGATTTAAAATTCATGATGATATATAACTTTGATTTAAATTGTGGCATGCTAGAAAATCATGTTTTAATATGTTTGTTAACATATATTAAATTGGTATTGATTGAATAAAAATTGCATATTTTATTTAATATTTATCTTTTGTGAAAGATTAAATCCCATGGCCGTACCTTGCATGCAATTGACTTGTGATATGCTTTTAAATTATGTCTTGGCATGTTGTTTAACATACTTTAATTTGAGAGCATTTGGACAAGTATGAAAATCTAGAGATTTTAATTAAAATCTAATTAAGGGTTCCATTGGTCTAATTAAATGTTTAACTTGATGTTTGTGATAACTATGACTTATGTTCTAGCATATGTTAATTTGGAACCATTTGATGTTGTTTTAGAAGTTAGGGATTTGATTATCATGATTTAATTAAATTCCACTTTATTGTTCTTATGGCTTAATCGAGTTTTGATGTGGTGTATGTAATGATTATGCTATATTGTTTATCATGTATTAATTGGAGACCATTTGATTGAGATTTGAAACCTAGGGAATTTAATTAGTTTATTGATTAAATTCCGTTTCTATTATATTATTGATTAACTCATGTATTTGACATTGATAGTATGTTTAAAGCATGACTTTTGACTTATAATGGATTTATGAGTTATGTTTCAATATTGGATTATATTGTTATAGCGCGTAACGAATCGCGCTCTGAAGATTCGACATGTGATGTTATTATAGCGCGTAATGAATCGCGCTCTGAAGATTCGACATTGTCATCCTATAGTAGTTGTGGATTTAGAGCATGTGTTGTGTGGTTTCAGCCTACTTATGCATGAAGGTAGTTTCGTGTACTATTCAATACGTATATAAGTTGTAAACTTATCTATTTATTTTGGAACCACTTGGGACATTGCATGATGGCCAGAGTTTGGCTCTAGTACGGGGACAAGAGTCCTCTAAGTCAAAAGTTCGCGCGTTGGGTAGGCCGCTTGGGGGTTAGTAGCTCCAAATTAGCCCAGAAAAGTTCCCGCGTTGGGTAGGCTACCTGGGGGTTAGTAGCTCCAAATTAGCCCTGTATCGGTCTCATCCGACTGATGTCCAAGTCTTCCACTATTTGTTTTCG